TTATTTTGATGCATGTTTGCTTATCAATTTTAGCAAATATATTATGGTAAAATTTAATCTTGACAAGTGAGTACCATTTATTGTGTGAAGTACCAACTGTGTTGTCTTTTTGCAACCCTCCCATAACTGCAGTCATGACCTCACAGCCTGATGGAATAATGTTTGCAAAGGGCCACTTTACCCATTTCAACTCTCCTACAATCTCAGAGGGCTATCAAAGCAGCTCATTAATTAATTCACAGTTTTCAAACACTGACAGCACACTGTGGAGATCTACAGCTATGAAGCAGGAGAATGAATATTCACAGCCGTTCAAAACATTTCTGGTAAATTCTCCTTCTAATCGCATTACGACAAAGAAATGACTGCAGTACATCTGAATGTAATGCACTTTGGCATTGCAGTTCTTTAGGCCAAGTACAAAAATGACAATAGTGCAAAGTTGTTTACATTACAATTTAGTCCATCAGCTTTAAAGAAATATATGTTTCTGCACCCAAGATCTGGCTTTGGTATCGAAGCAGCCTTTTTGGTCTTGATGCACTTTGTTTTATCAAATTGAAAGTAATGTCACTTTAAAAAAATATGTTTACATATTTCTGGGAGTTAATTAAAGAAATATTATATTAAATAATAAATATATTTTAGCTCTGTAATGTATTTTGGTGCTAAGCCATTCAGTGGTTTTGGACTAATAAGGGTATTTTAATCTATTCCCTGAGATACTTTAAAACTGCTGTGATGTGTTAAACTTCCTTAGCTTCGGTGAGAATGTGAGCAGCATTCTTGATCAGCTGCTTTTGATTTACTTTTTAGTCAGACGTGTGAAGACACAGGTACAGAAATCATTTTTAATACAGATGATGGCATGAATTTTATCTTAAAGATCCCGCTGAGACATTAGTCTTTTCATCCTGCCAATGTTCTTTAGGTGGTAGAAGGAGGACACCATTATTGTCTTTATGTGCCTCTGGATGTTCAAGTTTAAGTCCATCACTACACCCAGATTGCAAGCCTGATTGGTGATTCTGGCTGTATTAATTGAAGCTGTGTGTTAAATTGAATACTCCTATTTTAACTCAAAAAAGTAATTAATTTATGTTTCAATTCAGCTAAGAAAAATTGGTCAAATATGTGCATTGATTTCTTCTATACAGTTATCGAGCACTTTAATGGGTTAATAATTAGTCAGTTATTTAGTGAAGCATTACATGCTTTTACCATGTTTATTTTTTATACACTGAAAACATTTTTGTGGAGTTTACTTGTTGAGCCATTCATACCCTAGGAATAACTTGCCACCTAAGTCAAGGTCTCTTTCTCTCCATCTCTTAATAACAACATTACACAAGCTTCTAAGTTAGTACTATATTAGGGAAGGGTATTTTTTAAAAGATATCAATTTGTGTTTTCTTCTATATTACCTTTTGGTATGTTTGAAATCAAATTCCTAAAAAGTGTTCATGTCTGTCTGCCATACTGAGAATGTCTCAAAAATTTCATAGAAATTTGGCAACAGTTAAGCCCATCAAAACAAAAGAGAGCTAAGGGAGACTAAAATGATCATATTGATCATATTACTCAATCAAGCTCATCAGTGATCATTTGAGACTAGTTATTTTGTTAAGAAATTGTCCATAAATTTTTCTGTCACACTTATTTCTGCTGGGGTCGTGAGGGGTGCTGGTGCCAGCTGTCAGTGGGTGAGAGGCAGGACTAGAAGCCAATTAACCTAACAGTCATGATTTTGGACTGGGGGAGGAAGCAGGAGTACCCAGAGAGAACCCACGCATGCACGGGGAGAACATGCAAACTCCATGCAGAAAGATCCCGAGCTGGGAATTGAACCCGGAACCTTTTTGCTGCAAGGCAACAGTGCTACGCACTGCATCAACTGTGCAGCCCAGTCTCATTTTTCATTTTTAATTAAAGCAAAGTTGCATGCTACATTTCCAAATGTTCATGCTAACTTGGGAACTCCTACTATATAAATGTACTATCTGATATATTAGCTATAATAACAAAATAATTATTTAGAAAAATAGATAGTTAAACATATAAAAGAAACACCAGCACCCACATGCATAAGGATGTGACAGTTCCACACAATGTTACCTTAGCACTTTCTGTATTCAATGTCAAATAAAGAACATGTATTATGTGCTGTCTATTTGTGCTTTCCAATTGATTTCTTATAACTCTGATTTATTTAACTATTTAAGATAACCATCTATTTCTAAATAAAGAGGCTTTTTGTGCAGCTACATCTATTCAGTCACTCCACGGCCACTGCTGTGAAGGGATCAGAGGTGATAAAAAAAAGTACAGAGAGCTGGATGAGTGAGAGGGTTTAAGTTCGCACAGAGAGTGGAGGATTGGATATTCCCTAAGAAAACAGGAGCAGCCATTTGAGTGGAGGTCACGGACATTTCTATGCATGCCAGTGAAACAGGTGGGAGTGTTGGAGGAGAGAGGCCTCTTAAAGCCAAATAAACTAAAAGCTCTTGGTTTGAATGCTCTTCAGGCTGCACTCTGTTGAATGTACTTCAGTTCAAATAAAGCACTCGGGTCAGAAGAGATGATTTTTTTTTTTACCAAGCTTTTAGGACAACTCAGATTCCCACTTAAATCCAGCTTTAGTTCCTCTTTTCAGAATAAGAAAATTACCTTTTTTGTGTGTAGTGAGAGCTTCTAAAGCATGATGTGAAAAATATTTCTAAAATGTTTCAAATTTTAGAGTACTGGCATTGTAGTTATGCTGAAAAAGAGATGAAATAATTATTGCAACTGTAAAGGAAACATGATGTAAACTAGTGAAAAACTACCTGTCATACCAAAATGAAATATAATACACCATATTTAATAACAATTGTAGTCTAAAACCAGCCGGCTTCTTTGTTAAAGGGTTAAGGTCAGGCTAAATCAAGAGACTGGGATGAAAAAAGCGAATGTGCTACCATAAATTTCTTAACCCAAGAAAAATAGCAGCATCTTCACCTCTTTAGAAAATATTGCATTTAATTGAAAACCAAGTGACAGCTTTCCTAACCCTGTCAAAGTTTATCAAACATTGATAATAAATTTGCATTTTTGCATTTCTGATTTTTGACAAAAGAGTTATGGTATTATTTTATGAATTATTACATATTAATTGAAACAATTGTATGAACTATTGCCTTGCAGCAGTATTATCCTGTATTGGAATTCCAGTCTGGCATCTTTCTGCAGAGATTACATGTCCTCCTTGTGGATTCATGGGTTCTTGTTCTTTTCTAAAATAAAATATGAGTGTTAGTCTTTGTAAATACCTAAATCCCTTTGATTTCAAATGTGTGCATGTGTGCATGTGTGTATGTTTGTTCTGTGGTGCTCTGTGATGGAACGTTTATCAGTCCCCTGTGGATCCCATCCCCTTCCCAGTTATTGCTGAAGGTACTGTAGGCGTTGTCAACACTGCAAGGATAAAGGAGACATTAGCAAAGGATGGATGGGTAATTCATATCAGCTCAGTTGTAGTGCAGTGTTTAATACACTTGGTGGTAGCATTGGTCTGTGATTCTCTGAGTATAAACTCTCCACAGCATAGCAAGAGCACTGAGCCTACAGTGCAAGCTGCACTCCCCTCCAACAACGAATGGTTCAAAAAATGAAACTATAAAGTTCTCAGTTCAATGGTATTTCATTAATCCAGGGAAACTGGATGTCTTTTGGAGGAGTTCTGGGAACAGACATCGCTGCATGACAACAAAATAGGTAATTTGTATCCTATCGTCCTGTAATAAGGTACCTAGAGGCTAGAAGGTGAAAATAAAAAAGTACAAGTGACTTTTTTTTTTCTTCTGTAGATCAGGTTTGAGTCCATCTTTTTACTTGCTCATTGAGACCAACAGTAGTCAATCTAGGACTTTTATATGTTGTATTAGGCTAACAGGTCTGAGGTTGCTTTGGGCCAGCCCGACGGTAACATGTCTTAGGTTTTGGAACAGGGCATGATTTTAACCACTTGAAACGTTAACCGGGGTTAAAAAGGTTGAATATGTATATCAGAACCCAACATTAAGATCAGATGCTGTACAGAAGTGTTATGTCATTTTGATTGTTACTGTTCTGTTTATTTTTGACATTTTTCTGTTTGAGCTTACCCAAATCACACTAGGTAATTAATGGACAGGTGGTTGTGCTGGAGGAGGGTTTCATAAACAATGTCAGGTATCAGGAAATTTTAAGAACAATAAGATGAGCTATGTCAGAAAATGAAACATGTGCAGCACTGGGTCTTTAGGCACGGCAAAATAAAGCCTGAAATGTTTTCCTACACAAAGAATCAGTTTTCTCAAAATAAATAAATAAATAATTAAATAAACAAACAAACAAAAAAATATATATATGGTGACCATATAGAGAAAAGAGCCTTAGAGAGCAGCCAGGGCCAGTCTAGATAGGTGTGTAACACAAAGTTATTAATGTTAATTCTCCTATATTGTGCCATTAGTGGTTGTATTTCTTTTTTTAAAAAGGTGTGTCTTAAAATCATATCTAAATTAATGATATTTTTTTTCAAAATGCATTGATGCTATTGCTAAAGAATAAAATAAAATAAAAAATGGGAAATGTTAATTTATCATGTTTCCTGTTCATTTCTGAAGCAGTCTAAAAAGGTAGGCTTTTTGATGCAGCTTGTGAAATTGGACATTTCCTTTAAAAATTTTATATCAGCATTTCTGTAAGTGAAGAAATATGAGAAGCAAATAAAGAAAAATATTCTGGGCAATTTGCTGTAGAGATTTAATAAATGAACATTTCTACCGGTAAAAAACAATCACGTATCGGCTCGGATTAAGCAATATTTAATTAACATTGTTTTTAGTTATCATATTGTATTATTGTTATTCTATCACAGACAGGAAAAGACCCCTCTTGAGATACTTATAAACAGATTATTTTGATGTGTTTTTTTTTTATGACCAAAAGGTGGCGACGTAGAGCGTCTCTAATGAGAGTGATAGCAACCGTAGAAGAAAAAAAGCTCCCATTAAAGCTAGCTGGTTAGCACGACTGCAAACCTATAATTAAACATATTTGTGATTTTTTTAAAATGCTTCTACAGTCCGTAAGACCCTGGCTACTTCGATGCAGAGTATTACCGCTGTCTTGCGCGCGAACATACTACGCAGACAGCGTCGCTCGGCTCGGCTCCCAACCTGATAAACAGTCGCCTGAGTACCAGGTGGGTTAGGCTAATGCTAAAGCCTGCTAGCCTGACTATAGTAACAACGTAAAGTCATAGTTCAACCTGATTAGAAGGTAACTTAACAGAGGACACCACAGATGAGTCGCAGTAATGTTTACACATCTGCAAAACTGCGACCAATTAGTTTATGGTCTGTAACATATTGCATAGAGTGAATGTTAGAGGTCAGAAACCCCTTTTGCAGCCCCCTAAGAAGTTTAGAAGTGACTAATATGACTCCCATAATTTACAGATTCCGCTTTAGAGTGAACAGTTAAACAAATCGGAAACAATTAATGTTTCCATATATTATGTCCTTATGTCTTAGTAAGGTGGTTTGTTTGCTAGATGTATGTTAGATGCATAAGTTAAATATTTAACCTCCTTTCCCCAGTTTTATTCACTTTAAATGCTTTGTTGACCCAATCCACCTTTGGCAGCAATTCCAGCTTCCCATGTCTTTTTGTATCTGATAGCTTAGTTTGCCTGTTTTTAGGTAGTGTCGCATAATTTTCTTTGCAGTTATTAGGTGAAATTGATTTCTTAGTTTATTTTTTTTTACTTTTCACTGTCTTCATAATACTGTGTTGTGTTTAGACATTTGGGTAAAATGAGGTTAGACATTCAAAGATAAATACCTTGCAAAACCATGTGCACATATACATTACATAGACATAAACAAATAAGGCATACTTTAAAACATATACATTGACACTTAAACATATTTTTGGCACTAATGGAACCCCATATTAATACACATTCATCAAGTAATTCTGTATCATATGTTATACTTGTGTCTAGATCCTTGGTATTTTGATTTTCCTCAGGATCAAATATGCTCATACACTGCATGTAAAGCTGCCTCATTAACACCTTTTTCAGAATTTTTTATTTTTAAAATTCTGTGTCAAATAGTTCATTTATGAAAGCAACCATTTTCAACCATGAGTTGTGCTTAGTAATTTCACTATGCAGTAGTTTTTCTATAATTTATATGGACAAGCATTTTGATTAGATTATATTCAGTTTTCGAAGCTTTACTCACCAGAAAGTTATACTAAAAATCAATTGTTTTGCAGGAAAATTATGAGCGAATGAAGGTTTTGGTTGATGAATTGAGGAGCCGAACAGAGAAGATCAAGTTGGGTAAGTGTCGGAACCAGAAAAAGAAGATAAAGGAGGTCAATATTAAACCTTAACTTGTGCTACTTTTTTTTTTTTTGCTAGGGAAGATAAACCTCATTATGCAGCACTGAGCTACAAAATTTGGAATAACTTAAAATGTGTTTTGTTTTCCAAGGAATGGAAACCTAACTGAATATCTTGTGAACAGCACTTGATTGGAGAATGTTGTTCCCCCAGCAGGGCAATGACCCTAAGGCACCTTGAGACTCCATAGACATTAATATGTAGACCCATCATTGGATGGGCCAGCCTTATGCTGCGACAAGTTGGTGTTCGCTACATTGGATGTGGCTGATTTGCTGTTAGACTCAGGGATATTTATTCAATATTAGAGGGACTTTAATCCCATTCTACACTTAATAATTGTTGTATTAACATTTATTTTATAATAAATGCTTTTATTGTGATTTCCTTTTGGCTTTATTCACCTGATGTTATGACCTATCTCTTCATTTAAAGAAAAATAATTATAGCCTGGCCCTAAGACTCCATTGTGGAAAATTTTCAGGACTCTGCAATGCTTCTGCAAACGACTGAATGACTATTCTCCTGATGTTTGACTTTATTCTGTTTTAATTGTGTATTGACTTCTGTCTCACAAATTGCGATATATTTTACTCTTAGTTTTTTCTCGTTATATTAGTAGCTTTATCCCTTTATTCTCTCAAAATAGTATGTGCCCCTAATACTCCATCATAGATCTGTGTCAATACTAGATATTGAAAAGTTCATGTGTTCAGTTACATTTGTTCTGACTGATTCTGCTATACCCTCAATGGAGTGAAGAGTCTGTGCCATACCAAGACAACTTTGGATTTGTTGATGAAAAAAGATGCTTAAAAAAGAACTAACAATCCAAGTTTTTTTCATATATATTTATCACTAAAGGTGGAGGAGAAAAGGCAAGAAAACTTCATACATCTCGAGGGAAGCTGTTGCCAAGAGAGCGCATTGACAGACTACTGGATCCAGGGTATTATCGTCATCAGTTCCATTTATAATTTATGACTGTTTCATTTTGTTATGTGGCAAAGCGTCATCTAAATTTAGAGATCCACTCTGTGATTCTTAAAATAAAGGAATGAATGGGTTACATTTCCCCCCAAAAATATTGTAGTCATCTCTAAAGGTTTTTCTGTTTTTGTTTGTTGAATACTGATTGTTGGCTTTAAGTTGAAACACGAATGATGCACAGATTCAAAATGATACAGATGAAAATGTTATTGGTCTAATTGATTTACAGTTTTGTTTTATGTGCTGCATAGATTTTCTTCTGAGAGTGTTCAGCTTAGAGGGAATCTTAGTTGTGACCTACAATTTAGGAATAAAACAGAAGAAAAAAATTAACATTCCTACCAGAGCAAGCTAGCTTTGCTAACAATTGAAAGTAAAGAAAAGTTGTGATTGATACCCTTCAATAATACCTTTTTTGAATTTATTAATATTTATAAATTTATTTTAGATCCTATATTTAGTAGGTTTGACTTTTTTTAACTATTGTGATGCATTGAGATCTGCTACAAAAAAAGGCTTTTGCAAATACCCTCTACATACTACATTATTTAAAATCTAAAATATTCAAACACCATAAAGCATACATTATTATGCTGACATTACCATAATTAGTTTTTGAGTTATTTAAAAAAATTGTGTTTTGTTTATATTTTATTGAAATAGTAAACTTTATCCAGCAGATGTGTTTTGTTCCTCATTTTAAGAATCAGAAAAGTGTGACAGTTTTTGTTAATTGTCTTTACAGGACTCCGTTTTTGGAATTTTCCCAGTTTGCAGGATATGAATTGTATGGAAAAGAGGAGGTTCCAGCCGGGGGGATGATCACTGGGATTGGACGTGTTTCAGGGTCAGTATATTTTTCATAAAAGAATGTTGGATTATATAAAAGATGTTGACTGTTTGATCAATTTGGTAAAAATAAAACATCTAATTTCCAAAGCAAATTCCATTAATTTCCCTTTGATGTTTTTCCCTCTTAGGGTGGAATGTGTTGTTGTTGCTAATGATGCTACTGTTAAAGGAGGAACCTACTACCCCATTACAGTGAAAAAACACCTCCGTGCACAAGAAGTCGCCCAGCAGAATCACTTACCCTGCATTTACCTGGGTATGTTTTGCTAGATTTAGAATAATTTTTTCAAACACTAAATCTTAAAATAATTTAGTTTCAAAAATAAAATTTTTAGCCCTTGCTTACTTAAACATACATTAATACCGTATTTTTACGACTATAAGGCGCATATAAAAGTCTTTTTTTTCCCTCAAAATGTGTGGCGCGCCCTATGGTGCGGTGCGCCCGATGTGTGTTGTTACTGCGGACGTTTGAGACCACCATGAGAACGTTAAAGGGGGAAGTGTGGACGTGGATTGTGTATAAAAAAATAGGTATGTGCTTTATGCAGAACTCCTCATCTCCTCAATGAGGAGATGATGAAAGAGTGGCTGAGGGAGGTGTATGTAAGGAGACCAGGTGGTTTTTTCCACTCATCACCATTGCTGTTAATCTGTGACTCCATGCGTGCCCATCTCACAGCTGATGTGAAAAACATGGTGAAACAAATGAACGCTGTGCTTGCTGTTATTCAACCGCTCGATATCGGCACCAGGATAATAAAAGCGAACATATTCTGCCGGCAGATTTCTGCATTTTAAGTTAATTTATGCGTCAATAAACTGTTTCAGAGGAGTGATCACAGTGCTCTGTCATCACAGCGATGTGTCTGTCTCACGGCCAGCTGCCAGGTTTGATTAATACTTTGTAATAAATACATGAATAAAGCACAATCATACTCAGTTTTGCTCCCGCTCTATTTTTAAATACGCAGTAGAGGTATTTAAAAGTAGTAGAGGACATGTACCTGTATATAAAAAACGCGCCCTATAGTCCGGTGCGCCTTATGTGTGTGTTAAATACAGAAATGGGACACCTAACTGAGACTACGCCTTTTAGTACGGTGCGCCTTATGGTCGTGAAAATACGGTAACTCAAAGTTAAAATACTGTTGGTTAACAAGAAAAAAATGTGTTGATATCTTTGGAAAAGGAGCATGAGTTTCCTCTTTAACACTCATTAACAGACTTTGGATCATAAATGATCTAAATACTCAACTTTTCTTCATTGAATTTTTCTCAGTGGATTCTGGAGGAGCCAATCTTCCCAGACAGGCTGACGTCTTTCCAGACAGAGACCACTTTGGCCGTATTTTCTATAACCAGGCCAGGTTATCTTCAGAAGGAATTGCTCAGGTGAGGCTTTAAGGTGCTTGTGACAGGCTTTTTAATCAAATAAAGATAGTGAAGAAAAGCATATTAATATTAAGTATTTAGAATTTAATTAAAGTCGTAATAAAAGACAACTTTCACACAAATTGGGCATTTTTGACCAAAGTCGACTGGATTTATCGATTAAAGGGATCTCCAGGATCATTCATTGTGTGAATGTTGGTTATAAACACCTCAGCAGGTTGCACTTAAACAGTTATTAACTGGGGGGATCACCGTTAACCTTAACTTCATACATAATAAATATAGTAATTTTTTTGTTTCTTTTAACTCCTAATTTTCTTTATGATATTGACCTTCTGAAATCTCTTTAAATGCTTAAATACTTTGCATGATTAAAATGATGAATAGCTCTATAAATTATTAAAAAAGAAGTCAAACAAAATAAAATAGAAATTTCAATCTTAGCCCACGGGTGAGTTGTGCTGTTTTCAGAAGATGCAGTGGGCACCCCATGAGGCCCCTGAGGGCCCCTTGGTGCCCCACGTTGGTGACTCCTAGTTTAGACCAATATGAAAGAGAAAGGCCTTGAAATAATGAAAAACCAAAGGTGTAAAATTAAATGCTGTCAGTAAAAACAAAAACAAAAAACATTTGCAATAAACTGACCCAGAAGTAGCCAGGAGGAGTTAAACATGTCAACTTTAAGGACTCATCCAAAACATTTTTCTTCCTATTTATATTAAAACCTTCTTTTACTTAATATTGGAGAATTTATGCACATCTGTGGTTATCCTTTGATAGGCTTAATGGTTTGCATAATAAACACCTACAAAGTTTGACCTAATGCCCCCTAAAAGTTAAAAGAAAATTGCAGTCATAAGTCTTTTAAAAGTCATATCCTCTAGTGTGTGTTTTGAATCATTTTGGTGATTTGTCACATTTTAATATATCTTGCTAGTCAATGAAACTTTTATGAAGAAAAATTACCACAGACTTTTTTTTCATTGCAGATATATTTTTTCATGGTTCTTTAATCTAGCTGGAGGGGTTGTTTCTTTTCGCATTAAGATTTCTAACACTTCCTCTTTCTTCTTAGATTGCTGTTGTGATGGGCTCCTGCACTGCTGGAGGAGCATATGTACCAGCAATGGCAGACGAGAGTATCATTGTGCGCAAGCAAGGAACCATCTTCCTCGGAGGACCTCCTCTGGTTTGCAGATTTTCTCATCTTGTTTGTATTTTACAATCATGAAATGAATCATGTGGATTGTTGCATCCTCTCATGGTATTACAGTTGAATTGGTAATTCCAGTACCAGCTGGTTACTATGACTGAGCAGCTTTTGCTTCGGCAAAACAGAAGCAAGCCAGCATTTGCACGCTGGTTTGATTGACTAGGAGCATCTATATGGCCATGCTGTTTATCCACATTTAGGGAGATGTTTTGCATCTCATTTAGAATAAAGGTTCCACTCCATTCTCACTGACAGGAGGTGTTTTATGTACAATTAGTGCGAATATTTACCATGTCCTTAAAACAGGTGTGAAATGAGACCTAACAGAAACAACAGTGAGAAATGAAAGGTGCAATACTGTTGGCTTTATAAAAAGACAAGTTTTTCACTAAGTTAAGCTGTTTCTTCCTTTGTGCCAGACATTTTTACAAGAGATAATTTTGTCCTAGAATTTGTCTAAAAGATTGCATAAAATCTTTCTGTTCATTTGTATCATCTCATACCTGTAATTTTCAATTTTCTCTTTTTGTTCTTCCATTTGATTTTGTTCCTACTAATATACGATCATGGGGAAAGACCATTTTTAATTCAAATTAGCCCATATTATCTGACTGGATATTTTTTTGTGTATAGCCCATAATTGATATTGACCTAATATGATATCGGCGGATTTAATCAAGAGGTATTATTTAGGGCAGTTGTCATCAACAATAGGTAGGAGTTAAAACTGATCAATTTATTATTAATCAATAAGCAGGGGTTGACGTTAAGGATTTTTTCCACTTGACCGACTTTCACATTTCATTTGCCCAGAAACTATTTTTACTTGCCTAGTATAATGTTTGATAAATATAGTTCCTAAGATTCATTTTTGTATATATATCAATGAAACATTGACAATGTTTCATTGTTTTTTAAATGTTTAAATGTTTTTTTTGTAATTCAGTAAGTTTACAGGTTCCTGGTGTTTATATGCATGCGTCAGATGATGAACTCAAGCCTACATTACCGTGTTAACATGCTTTTCAATCCTTCCTGCACATTCTTTTCAAACTAAACTTTTCTTTAAACTGTTGTGTGCTTGGACAAATATAAGTTGTAGTGTTAAAAATCTAAAAAAAACTTGACAGGTTAAAAACTTAAGATAAATCACAAGACAGAAGTCAATGTCACAAATGAATAACTTTTATTTTAGAGTCACGGTATGTTTATACAAGATAATACTATTAATATACCGGTAATGTGACTTTTCTAGAGAATCATTATACAGTTATTTTATACAGGGTTTCCACAGTCTAACATAATTTCAGAATTCAGACGGTGGGAGCACATAACATTTCTAATGCCTTCCTCTACAAAATATTGGATCACAGGATGCAAAGATGTGGGGCGAACAATTTTGCCAAAGATGTAAACCTTTTTTTCTTCTGTTTTTTTAAACAATATTGCGATTGGCATTGTAGTTTGGTTTTCCATTTCTCTAACCACAAAGATGTAAATACTTCACCTCAGCCTTTCATAGTTTTCCTGACTTTTTAAGTTTACTTGTCCAGAATCCAATGTCGCAGGACTTTACTGTTACTGTTGTGGAGAAAAGTGCTGACTTCTGCTTGCATGATCTGCATGCTAGCTGCAACTCTCTCTTCCCTTCGGTGTGACAGCAAACCCATTTTAAGTGCATTGCCTCCTAAAGAGCTCAGGTGGGAAAGTCAGTGTTTCTGACTCCTGTTAAATGGGTTGTGATCAAAATTGAGACACCTCTTCAATCTAAAAATGGCTTTGGTTAAATTGTGATTGTATTGAAAATGCAAATAATTGCTCAGCCCCCCAAAGAAGGCAGAGACGCCTTTATTTCCCTCAAAATATAAAGCCAATTTAATTCTGGATTACATTTCTAATGCACAATATTTCTAAATTTAACAAAGGACTTTTAGAAACATGTAGAAAATATAATCCACTCTTCTTTTATCATCTCTGCCAGTGAAATGAAAGCAACCAAAATGTATTCCCGATTGATAAGATGTTGTTGTGCAGTTATAGAAAGTGTTGCTCTGGCTGCTAAGACCTGAGGCTTGCTGTGAGGAAACCGATGCTCATTTCTCTTAGTAGCTTTTAACACCTGATGTGTTGGAGGTCAAACTGGTCGGAGGTTTGGGCTCGGGCCAAAAAGCACATTTTATTTCACTCGTTCTGTATCTTCTGGGCACTCTTTTGTTCAGAAGGCATCATTTTCTGTATGAATTAGAAGACTGAATTAAGACGATGTGGGTTGGTGTGGCTCAACCTTTTGTCATTTGTGCCCTAATTTCCTCCCAGCCCACTTGCTGTTGGTCACCAACATATTAAATTTTATATGTGTAATCAAACCGTTGATGCCCGTGTAGCTGACTGTGCTTAGCAGTTTATTATGTCCTTAGAGTTAAATATCTCCATTACACTAGGATAGTCATAGACCTGATATAGTTGTGTATTACTCATTGTTGTGTTACACTTTATTTTTGTTAAATAACTGAGCAACCTCCTGCTGATGGTGTATATGTTAGAGTCACACAACCACAACTTGTGGATCAATCATTGGATATAGTAGATTACTACCACTACTTTTAATTGTTGTACATCCGGCCAGGATCAAACCATTACTGAGGTGTGTACAATTTGCAGTAAAAGACCAAATGTCAAACTGGCAAATGAATGGTGAAATAGTAACAGTAGGAAACAATCAATCAGCTGCAGAAAAAGACAGTTCTTGCTGCAGCAGTTTCATGAAACCTCTTTGTGTCTTTTAACAGGTGAAAGCTGCCACCGGGGAAGAGGTATCTGCAGAAGATCTTGGTGGTGCTGATCTACACTGCAAGTATGAGCACAGCATTTCGTGTAACATCACTGATATTCCTCTCTTCTATAAGGCTGTTGTACATTTTCCAAATACACTGCTTTGAATGAAGCGCCTTTAACTGTTGATGTGATGTCCAATGTTTGAAATTATATCACATTAGCTTTATTTGATGGTAAATGTGTATTTGGATCTAAATGACTGCTAGATCTGTATATTCCACCTGCTCTCCACTCCATGGTCATCTCTTAACTACTGGGATTGATTTCTTTCCTGTTTCACAGAAAATCAGGTGTGACAGACCACTACGCTTTAGATGATAACCACGCACTCCATTTAGCCCGAAAGACGGTCCGTAGTCTCAACTACAGGAAGAATATCGAGGTCAGTCCAATCAATGGTCTAATTTAGGGCTGGGCGATAATTCAATAACGATATATATCGATCGATAGACGTGTGGCGCAATAGAAAAAAAGAGGGTCGATAAAAGTTCGATAAAAAAGAAACGTAGTTTTCCTTCCTTCTCATTGTAGCCTAGCATGTAGGTTTATGCTAGTCACTGCTTCCTCCCAACCAATCACAATCGCGG